GCGCTGTTGTGGTGATGCTGTCAACAGCCTTCAACGGAGCCGACGAGAGCCAGCATCAGAAGATAGGAAAGAGGAGCAGCAGCAGCATGGATGCTGGCCCTAGCGACAGCATAATGCCCCTGGGCGTTCCTCTGAGTGGCAGCCCCGAGGAGCCCATCAGGCTGGATCTGAGTGGCGTAAGAGAGGAGGAGGAGGAGGTCCAGGAGCGGTCACAGAGGACCAGGTTCGATAAAGCGGCACCCACCAACGTTTCAGGCCTGACTGGCACCTCCGCCTACCTTCACTGCCTGGTCCACAACCTGGGCAACAGGAGCGTCAGTATCATCTATGTCTTGTCTAATGCTGTGCTGTTATCTAATGCTGCGTCCTGCCGTTATCTGTAGCTGTGTGCTATGCTCTCATCTAACGCTCTGCTATGGTGTTATCTATCGCTGTGCTATGCTGTTCTCTATCGCTGTGCTATGCTGCTATCTATCGCTATGCTCTTATTTATCGCTATTCTGTTATCTATCGCTATGCTGTTATCTATCGCTATGCTGTTATCTATCGCTATGCTGTTATATATCGCTAAGCTGTTATCTGTCAATAAGCTGTTATCTATCAATAAGCTGTTATATATCGCTTTGCTGTTATCTATCGCTTTGCTGTTATCTATCGCTATGCTGTTATCTATCGTTATGCTATACTGTTGCTATGCTCTTATCTATAGCTACGCTCTGATGTTACCTATGGCTGTGCTATCTAGTTATATATGGCTATCATATGTGCTATTTTTCTCTAATGCTGTGCTATGCTTTCTAATGCTGTGCTATGGTGATATTTATAATTCTGTGCTTTTCTTTTATCTAATGCTCACCTGTGCTGTTTTATAACTATTGTTAAATGCTGTGTTATGCTGTTGTCAAATTCTGTGTAACACTGTGCTATGATGTTATCTAATGCTGTGCTATGGTGTTATATAACGCAGTGTTATACTATGCTGTGCTCTTATCAAATGCTGTGTTATGCTGTTTCTAGTGAACTTGCTGTTGGTGAGTGTGAAAGGTGAGTAAGACCTGTTTACCTCAGTAGCTGGCAGGTGTTAGTGCATTCATAATTATATCTATAGATAAGAATATATCTATAGATATGATAATATGAAATGATAGTTACGTGTTTGGTGAATTCACGTGATGCTTCTGTTGGTCTCTCCAGGTGTTTTTATGGAGGCACGATAGGGCTCTTAGGCAGGTGTTTTTATGGTGGTACTTCAGGTCTCTCAGGCAGGTGTTTTATGGAGGCACTCCATGTCTCTCAGGCAGGTGTTTTTATGGAGGCACTTCAGGTCTCTCAGGCAGGTGTTTTATGGAGGCACTCCATGTCTCTCAGGCAGGTGTTTTTATAGAGGCACTTCAGGTCTCTCAGGCAGGTGTTTTTATGGAGGCACGTGCTCATGTTCAATCCCTCACACACACGTGTTGTGATGCCACTGAACACAAGTGAAACTCTCATTGATTAGAACACAATCATCGTGACAGATAATTTTGAACATTTGTATAAAATAAATCAATATAATTTTAACATAACTTAATCTCTCCAAAGTAACTGATTCCTTACATGTTGATAAGAGGCCTGCCAAGTTCTATTTCATTAGTGTAGTAAACTCAACTATCAATTACGATGAATTAACAATCCGTTTTTAATGATATATTTCAGTAAAATGCATTAAAGTCAATAGTATGCGATTGTATTATTAAATTTGTATTTCATTTAATAAGAAATATTTTTGCAAATTCATTTCAATATTAAAGCATTGAAAATTGACTATTTTAATGATGAATGTGGTAAAATGTTTATAGGAAAAGTGTTACAAAAGCTGGCTGTCTAAGCCCGACCACAGCAGTAAGCCCGACCACAGCAGTAAGCCCGGCCACAGCAGTAAGCCCGACCACAGCAGTAAGCCCGGCCACAGCAGTAAGCCCGACCACAGCAGTAAGCCCGGCCACAGCAGTAAGCCCGGCCACAGCAGTAAGCCCGGCCACAGCAGTAAGCCCGGCCACAGCAGTAAGCCCGGCCACAGCAGTAAGCCCGGCCACAGCAGTAAGCCCGACCACAGCAGTAAGCCCGGCCACAGCAGTAAGCCCGACCACAGCAGTAAGCCCGGCCACAGCAGTAAGCCCGGCCACAGCAGTAAGCCCGACCACAGCAGTAAGCCCGGCCACAGCAGTAAGCCCGGCCACAGCAGTAAGCCCGGCCACAGCAATAAGAAGTATGTTATCCTTAATGGGATAAATTAATCCTTGTTCAGCCACGAAACATTTCAAAGAGGATACAAGCACCTGGTTATATGACCTGGCCTTTGTCGAATACTCGGGATTGATTAAATGGGTAATGAATACATGAGAGAGAGAGAGAGAGAGAGAGAGAGAGAGAGAGAGAGAGAGAGAGAGAGAGAGAGAGAGAGAGAGAGAGAGAGAGAGAGAGAGAGAGAGAGAGAGAGAGAGAGAGAGAAGAGAGAGAGAGAGAGAGAGACAGAGAGAGAGAGAGAGAGAGAGAGAGAGAGAGAGAGAGAGAGAGAGAGAGAGAGAGAGAGAGAGAGAGAGAGAGAGAGAGAGAGAGAGAGAGAGAGAGAGAGAGAGAGAGAGAGAGAGAGAGAGAGAGAGAGAGAGAGAGAGAGAGAGAGAGAGAGAGAGAGAGAGAGAGAGAGAGAGAGAGAGAGAGAGAGAGAGAGAGAGAGAGAGAGAGAGAGAGAGAGAGAGAGAGAGAGAGAGAGAGAGAGAGAGAGAGAGAGAGACAGAGAGACAGAGACAGAGAGAGACAGAGAGAGGGAGGCCACATGATGAACACGCAGATACTCAAACTGCCCCAGCGGCCTGCTACTTTAATATCACGTCACAGCACGATTTAAAGGGGTCATCAGAACATCTATATTCTCACGTTACCAAGCTAATTCACTCTTAGTAATGGCTGCCACGAAGACGGTGAAGCACCATCTCCAGCACCGCCACCACCTGAGGATATATTGCCTCAATAATGCCTTCAGCCTCACAAATGGACTCGACTAAATGGTCGCCAGAAATTCGGTTTATGTGGTGTTTTATGCGCCAGACTTCTAGTTACCTGGCTCCTCTCTGGACAATTATACTGAGTGCGTTATCCTCTCTCGTTCGTGGGACTCCTCTCTCTCGCCCTGGTGATCAGACTAGCGGCTCGTCCCTGCCAACACATCTAGGTAAATACTTCCACGTGAGTACAAGCACATGTATTACACACACACACACACACACACACACACACACACACACACACACACACACACACACACACACACACACACACACACACACAAACACACACGCACACACACACAAACACACACGCATTGATGGTTAACACAAGCTACGGATAGAAAGGCGGGGCCCAACAGCTAACAGCTCGATCCTGCAGGCACAAATAGTAAACTCACTCAATCACACACACACACAAGTCTACATCACTAATAACGGTTTAAATCCGCTCAACCAAACATAATAACTTTAATAAGTATCACATAAGTAGGAGACAACTTTACCTTTCTTCCATAAGGCAATGTTATTGTTATATATTAAGACAAGTAACTGGTCAAAATAGAACAGCTGCTGGTAAATGCTTCTCTCCATTGTCAGTTAAGAATGAAATTATCGAAAAAATAATTTATCTTCTTTTATATTAACACAAAATAGTCTTCTGTCAGATTCAAAAGAAATATTTAGTAATGGATTTGAGAGAAAATTTCTTTTGCAAATGAGTTCCGTAATTTATTTGAATGAAAAAATCATAAGTTTTATTTTCTGAAAACCTGAAGAGAAAATTAATTGTTATGGATTATTTCATCAAAATTTGTAGTCATGTTATCCTAGATATCTCAATATAACCTTTTGATAACACTTAATATTGAGTTACTTTCACAAAGTTGAATATTTTTCCACACTGAAAGTCTTTTAAAGTGTAAAAAATGTTTTTCCAGTTAAATTCCCTTCCCATAAACACCCAAAATAATTGGCATAAAACGTCAACTTTCAGTACCCCAGCGAGCCTCCCCAAACGTTTCCAGCCCCTCAGAGATAAACTTACAAAGAGTCTCAGAAGGTCTTTGTATGAAACGTAAGCGAACTGGCAAATATTTCGTACTATCAGATGAGCTCTTGAAGCTCTGCTTGAAGATATCTCAAGGAGTCAGCCCTGCCAGACCCCTCCACTCTTATCTGGAAGGCAAGATATATCTGGAAGGAGGCCTCGGTTTGCTGTTCTACTGGGGAAATATTATGGCAGTGGGGTGGGATTGAACTCGTGTTTCTGGACTCCCCTGAAAAAAACTCATTGTTTTCAAGAGGGTCGTGTAGGGATCGATGTATTTTGTTAATATAAGTATTTTTTACTTGATTATTCAACATATATGAACAAATAATAAGCCACATGTTTCCTATGGCTGAAAACAACCAGCCACGTGTATGTGGCAACACTGTAAACAATCAGGCACGTGCCTGCCAACACTGTAAACAAGTAGCCACGTGTGTGTGCCAACATTGTAAACAATCAGGCTCGTGCCTGCCAACACTGTAAACAATTAGCCACGTGTGTGTGCCAACATTGTAAACAATCAGGCTCGTGCCTGCCAACATTGTAAACAATCAGGCACGTGCCTGCCAACACTGTAAACAATTAGCCACGTGTGTGTGCCAACATTGTAAACAATCAGGCACGTGCCTGCCAACACAGTAAACACTCAGCCACGTGTGTTTGACAGCGTTGTAAACAATATGTACTGATGACCCTACAACGTTTGTAGCACCATCACAACATCCTGGTACTCTTGACTAAAGAAGTTCTATGAGTCCCATCATTTGAGGGAGGGATGGGTTGTATTTGATGCCATCATGGCGTAGTTAAATTATTAAGTAGAAGAGAAAAAATAGAACTGTCGGACCTAATCAATTTTCAGTAAAAAATAAGTCACATTTTTTTGTAAGTAAATCCTTTGATCAAACTTTTTAACAAATCACCCGAAATAGGAACCATTCAGCAGAAGTGGAAACTTCAAAATGTATTTTTTTTTAATTGTTTAAAGTTATATAATGAACCATCTTGTAATTATCGACCAATCAGCTTAAGTTCATTCATTGGTGAATTGACGGAAATACTAATTTTATATATATAAAAATGCGACATTTAAACTGATAAATAATTACATTCTTGTAAAATGGCCTGATGAGAAATCGACCAAATTTTATATGCCTTTTTTAATTCCTAATTTGTTTAATAATATGTAAGATAGAAAGGTGAGTCAGGAGGAAGA